GGGGGGGGGGCGACTACGCGTAGCAGAATAGGGGCGGTGGAACCAAGCAACCTGCACCCGGCAACAGCCCCCGACCTCGGAAGAACTAATCATTAACCTCCTTCCAAACGGAGCACCCCCATAGCTTTCACCCCCGCGAGGCCAAAACCCACCCTCCCGAAAATTCTCGACTACCTTCGCTTCACTTTTACCTGCGTATCGTTACCTTTGTTTCTGGCTCTGCGCTCGCCCGCCAATCTACCCTTACCTATACAGAGCCCTCACAACTATACCTACGTCACTCTTCTACACCTATATTCTACTACTCGTTTGCCGAGCCACCTCCGCCGCCACCTCCATCTTGCGTTACCAGCCCTCTAGCCATCTAGCTCTCCGGGCCCACCCTTATATACCCACAATCCGCCGCCCTGTCGACCCCGAAAATTTAACGGTGTCGCGCTTTTCGGCCCCTAATGCCTCCTGGGGGTTTGCGATCTTTAAGGTCCTTTAAGACTCGGCTCGAATCTTCTGGGGGTAGCACCTACTGCTCGCCCTCTCTGAACTCATTGCGTAATCGTAAATAAAGGGGGTTGCGCCACTGCTGCCACTACACTCGACGTTGCCTGTACTTACGTACTTGTGATTCGATCCTAACCTCGCTGGCTACCCTCTCTGTCCAACAATACGTCCCAGGTTACGCAACCCTTAGCAAACCCACTAACGCACGTTTAAGAATTTTTCGAAAAATTTTTGAATAACGGTTTTTATGAAATTTTCAAAAAATCTCACGTCTCTTCTGCCTCGCGCGAAATAATCGCTCGCTGAGCGTACGATCGAAATATACGAAGTGATTTGTTTAAATGAAAACGAATATTAAACGGGATAGCAAAAGAGTTGAGGAAAGAAATAAAATGTAAGGAAACTATGGGGATGCAGGAATGGCGGACGAGCGTCGAAATTTTTGGCGGGCTAAACGCGAAGGGCTGACTTTAGTTGGCCGTAGCGTGGAAAGGGTGCGTGGAAACGGGCGAAAAGGGACAAGAGGGGTAAGATGCAACGCGCATCTATTGATTCCCTGTCGTGAAGGTCTGGCTCACGCACTTTCCGACGCACTCGCACTGTGTGCACGCACACGGGTATACCAAAACCGCGTATTTACGTCTATACAAGGATAGGTACTGGCTGGCCCGGATGAAAGAGACGACAAAGAAAGAAAAAAAAAAAAAAGAAAAACTGGATCTCGCAGCCCCTGTGCATTCCTATCGTAGCGGCCCTTTACGGAACTACACGTCACTTGGAATCATTTAAATTGCGTTCGAACTGAAATTTAAAAGAAGCGTCGGGACGCCACCACGAAAGACTTTACTTTCGACTATTATGTCCGCCGGAATAGAATTTTCTTGGAAAATCTTTCAAGAAATTTTTAATTAATATTAAAATTACATTCCTCAACCAAATTCTGGGTTTGAAACTACGGTGAAACGAAATGAACGAAGTTATATTAGCTTTCATTGAGGTTCAATGTAAACTGAAAAATATTGAATGGAATAACCACCGTCCCTTCTGTCCTCTTCGCCCCTCCCGAAAAAAACATTGATCTAATTAGCCAAGGACACCCGTTATTAATATCGTAAGAAACGTGGCACGTTACGTCTTGCTGTTCTTCGTTAAGTGAATTAAGAGATTTCGTAGAACATCGCGATATTTATTTCCTCTAATTCAGCGTCTAACGCTATGAGATCGGAGAATAGGAGGTTGAATAAGAAACAGAAAAGTATGAGAGAGAGAGAGAGAGATAGATAAAAAAATGAACAAATTGAAGAAGAGTAAGAGGAGAAACAAAGAGGAAAAGTTTTCCTCGACGGTACGAGAGAAAAAAAGAGACGGAAAACTGGAGATATAATTTTGTCAATGTCGATTCGGTAATCTCAATGAAAATATCAATTAATTAGATATTCCAAATCGGAAGAATTCTTGTGAATTTTTAACGTAGGTAGTTAGGTATCAAGGCTGGATTGATTTCCGCGAAAAAAAGAGAATATTGATTTTCTTATTGGATGTACTCATTGAAATAATAGTCGAGCGTTAACGATATAAATTCTGTAAACTGATAATTTTGTAATTTTAATATACACGAGTAAACACGTATGTACCTAGACTGTTTTTATTTTACGTATCGCCAAGGAATTTGGCAAAACTAATTACACGGCTCTGAGAATATGATCGTCGAATGGGAAATGAAATATACACTGCTTTGCAGGTAAATATTAGCAGAGCCTTCGACTTTTATTAAAAAGAAGATGCCGTGTCGTGCGTACAGAAACAAAAAAGGAAAGAGTGTCTGACAACGATGAAAGATCAAGCAAAGTTTAATTTGAATGTAAAAAATCGTTTAGGTCAAATTTGAGTTTTGTCAATCAAAGAAAAAAGAGAGAAAAGGATATTTCAGTGACACCTGTAAGAGTAGACAGAATATCGTATTTCGCCAGATAGATAAATAATTTCGCTTCAACCCCTAAAAGTGGGGTGACAGAATCGGCGCCAATGGAAAAAACATTATGTGGCAAACTGTTCGTCCCATAGAAGTATGAAAGGAAAGAATAAGGGAAAGAATGAAAGGGGAAAGAAGTATACAGTCTTCTCTTTGATTTGATATATAAATATATATATATATAAATACATACACACAACACCCGTGTTCAAGCAGGCTTTGGCCTGCAAACAGCAGAAAACAAATTCGTGTGCAAAAGTTGTGCGTCCTTATTTATGCCGAATCGAACGTTCGAAGTAGAAACCTTGTTTGAACCGTTGATCAGAATGCACAAAAGGATATTTGAATTCTGGGCAAGAATCGACGATACCATTCATGACAAAAACACAAACATGCAAAGAGGTCGCGAGCGGTACTGCGAAATACAGCAAAAATGTTTATTACCAGTATTAGATACGTATCAGAAATTGTAGCTGGCAATAGAAATTTCATATCGAAGACGCCTCTCTTAGATCGGAACACGAAATTTCTTTTAAGTCGTACAAACAAAAACATTTGTTTTAAAAACCAAAAATTTAAAAGTCAATTAAGGACGTTAAAACTGCAGCTGCGTACAGCGAAGGGGTAATAATGAAATATATCAGTAATTCATTCACGTACAAAGTCTACCCAAAGTTTTCGTAGTCAAATATAATCAGACATAACGTATTAAAACAGATGTTTATACAAGTATAAAACACTTACGACAAACTGATGGAAACCTGTCGCATTCGGCTCGTACTCTCGCTCCTTGATTTTTTTCGACGGAATTCCCGTCAGTAATTTCCTCACCCTTTTCCAAAGGACAGCAATTTTTTAACAACCGTCAAGCCGACGATCATCCTACTGCTCGTTCAAAAACGGCAGGTCACACACGGACACGAGCACCGACCTCCGCGACCCTCGTAAGTTTTTTTGATTAATTAACGTGAATTTATTAACTCCCTCTTCTCTTTTATCGTCTTGTAATTTCAACTTCTACTCTTAAAGCCAGTCTCTTCGAACCGTAGGGATTAACGTGAAATCGGTACGTTCCGTTCCCTTCCGCGGAACGATCTTTCGCATCCGAACGCTGCCAGCAGCGAGGGAGACTGAACGCTGTCGAAACGCGGCGGAAAAACGTAGCCGGCTCGGTATGACGAAGGGCGGGCGCCTCTGTCACGCTGCGAAAACGAAAATTTCACTCGCCATAACTGGCGCCTCCTTGCGGAAGCGGGAAGATTCTTGCGCCGGTCGTGTAATGTTATTATTATTACACCGTAGCTATTATTATTATGAGGGTGACAGGACTTGCTTTCCCATGTACATACGTACTACCACTACTACTGTCTCTTTCTCTTTCTCTAGATACCGGCAAAGCCGTTCTTTGTCTCTTGTTTGGCTGGCTCCAGGGGAAGCTACTGCGATGTGAGAGGGTAGTTGGCAGTGCCGTATTTAGAGGGTGCTACGACTCCCACGGTACTTCGAAGAGTACTGGTTCGTGTTAATTAGGAGTTCATTATGAATATACTAGTCACTCATTAGAGTGGATTAGAGTTATGTCTTATGGACAGGTTTGTTTTTATTTGTTGAAGCAGAAATTTTGCAGAAACTGTTGATTGATTCTTGGTTAAGTATTTATTGAGAGGAGTGGGAAGAAATTTGGACCCCTGGTGGGAAGGCTACATTTTACGTAGCTTTATGAAAAATGGGACTGGTATTAGGAATAGCAGGTACTTCAGGTAGTCGATGCGACTACCCGTGTTGTCGGAGTTGTCGATCATCGTTAGGGTGCCAGTAGATTTTTCTTGCACGGGTTCTTTGTCGTTGAGAACTTTTGTGTCGTTTTCGAATGTCTCATTACGCTCCTGTCTATGGGCATCTTCGTACATCTGTGCCAGACGGTCAATTGATACCATTTTCAGTGTCTTTAGTTGTCCTGTTATATGGGATTGATATAATTAAAATTACTTGTTTAAATTATGTCACCAAGTACTAACCTGCTTATCTTGAAACACGGTTAGAAAAATTACGTATGAGAATCTTTTGATTCATTGGATAAATAGAACTGGTGAATGATACTAAAGAAATTTTGCTAAAAATAAGGAACTTTAATATACCCTTAGAGTCATTAGTAATTTTTTACAATTTTGAATTCTGAGCGTAACCCCTGTCCAATATATGCGATAAATTTTAACCTATACTTCTATGAAAATTAAAGAAATGGTATTGTGTGAAAACAGAAGAGTGGAGAGCATGAATATGCGTGAATACTTTCACAGGACATTTAATATTTTATCTATACGTAAATTTATGATAGTATTTGCTCGTATTCCGTTTAAATACTACAGCTGGATTATGAAGTTTTTTTAAGGTCATTCTAGTCATTGATAACTGCTTCTTTACACTCTCTCCGTTAATATTTATTCTAGAGGCTGTACAATTGTTGTCATAACGAAGATACAGTGCTGTCGCTCTCGGACCGATTCAGAACGATCAAGGTGCGAATCGCGGAAACGAATTTAGCTATTGGAGTTTCGTAATAAATAGCGGACACTTCCTTCATCAGTGTAAATCCGCGCTTCGTCCTGATGAAAGAAGCGGTCCGAAGTAGACGATATATTTTAATCTTCTACGGATTTCGACAGTCAATTGCTGTTTAACCAATGACGACGGTATTATCCACAAATTCGTAGTTTGGTACTTCCAGGTTTAAGGGTGCTGGTCCTCTCCTAATTCTACCACTGGCATCATAGTGAGAACCATGGCATGGACAATAGTAACCACCATAATCTCCAGCATTGGCGATTGGTACGCAGCCCAAATGTGTGCATACTCCAATGACTATCAACCACTCAGGACGCTGAACTCTTTCAGAATCATGTTGTGCATGACGAAGGGATGAAACATCTACTTTACGTTCCTTTTCAACTTCACTTGCGGACCTATGGATAAACTTAGAATATTTATTTCCCGTACGCTTGCACTTTGGCACAGAGAAGAAATATTTCAAAATAAATAAATGTATTCTAATCTGCTATGAAATGTCTTACCTATGACGGACGAAGAGGGGCTTTCCACGCCATTTAAAAACAGCACTCTTGCCTTCAGGAACAGAATCAAGCTTAACCTCAATTTTAGCCAAAGCTAAAACATCAGCTGAAGCACTGAGACTGGAAACAAGATCGTAAACAATGGTTTTAGCACCATATGCAGTACCAACTCCAGTAACTAAAAGTGCAAAATTTTGTTATACTTAATATATATTAGGTTATATAAATTGTAAATGTTAAGAGACAACTAACCAGCAGCTACAACATACGAAAAAGTTTTCCTATCATCAGCACTGTCACGGTTTCTTGCTGTCGGATCCTTAAGAGACTCTCTACGATATGCTGAGAAGTCAGGAACTCTAATGTCAGTATGTGCAAAGCGAACCTTGGAGACCTGTGTAGATGCTGAAAAATGTTTATACAAGTTACTTTATAAATGCCTTAAAACAGTACAAAATACAGGTAACACCAAAACTCTGAAGTACCAACATGTAGTCCGAGAAAGTACACCAAGTAAAACCACTGTTGAGATAGAAATCCTACATTCTACAAGGATAAAATATGTCCAAGCCCAACAATACCTAGTCCCACTTTTTACAAAAAAATTACAAAATCATCGCAATTAAACAAGATTTATAATACTGATTTTACAAAAGTTAAAAGCTCAGTCGATCCAGTAGGTATCTACGAATTGGTCGCCTTGAAGTTCAGATTACATAACTCAAAGACACAGTTTTCCGCAGCTATACAAAAACTTCCAAATAAACGACTGTCGAGATTCGCGAGACAAGCGCGTTTAACAAACAAACCTGCAGGTCCTGATCTAATGCGAATTGGCCCAGATAGAATAGCCTTGTTAAGACTGTCGTTAAGGATCCGCTCGACGGGTGTTGGATGAGCGATTTTCTTTTTCTGCACCTTACCAGTTGCGGCTACAGGGCGTAATCCGTTCGCAATTGTTGGCACCGACGCCTTCAGATACGGCGCCAGATTCGAGGATTTCGCGATCACGTTCATCTTTACGGAGAACCTCCTTGGAACGGACACGAAAACACGATCGAGAGGATCTCGTCAAAGATGGCTCTTCCGCTTCACAATCACGAAATAGACGTCACGGAGACAGTACTTGCTCTATGAAACAGAAGGCAGCACAATGCTTATTCGGCGGGTTAATTCAAAATTGTCTAAATCTTAAATTAATACATAATTCTACTTTTAGATCTAAACGGTATTATAATTAAAATATAGTGGGAATAGGAGAGACATCGGATGATGTGAACCGTTGAATAGTTGGGGATTCAGGCTAATTGGTGCCCCATTGATTTTTGCTTTTATTTCTGCAGAGGCGTCCTTATAAAGTATTTGGAAGGGGAACACGCCGAGTGTTGTATTAGTTACCAACGGAAGGAGCGGAAAATTGAAACGAGTAAAAAATATGGCGGCCGCGACAAATTCCTTTGACTCTTGGCTCAGTACGAAATTGCAAGCATTGAATACCGACGAAGGAGTTTTTGGATCGTATATTAAAGGAATTTTGGAAGGAGATGAAACTGAGGACGAAAAAACGGAAGCCCTTGAAGACCTTCTAACCGGCATAACGGTGAGGAGCCTTCGATTTGTAAGGTTAGAATGTACTTGGTACTCGTCGAATGGAATTCGCGTTGTGACCAAAAATAGCGGTATAAAAATAATATGCATATTGCCCTTTTAATAGGGTTTCAAAATTGTTGACAATTTGTTTGTTGATGACTCATGGTCTTAAATTGAAGAAATATTCCTTAAATTTTCTATTTTATTATTAGCGTCTGCTAAGCAACAGTTCATAAATTAAACAAAATGTGTATGTAAATGAGTGAATTCATAATCAGTCTCTACTCATTTGATTATAAAACCGATGTTGCTTTCACTTTACAAAACATGAATTAAAAGTAAGCTGTTATAATTTTTTATTTATACTTTCCAAGCTAGACGTGAGTTTTAGAGTAAGCAGCATATTTAGTGGAATTTAATTAATGGTTTTCTGCATAAGTAATCGATAGCTGCCTGAAATATAAAATACATGAATCTTAGGATTAATAAACAGATAACGATGATACATAATTAATATCATTAAAATGATTTTAATGAAAAAGTATCAATTTTGATTCTAGGAGGATAATATTAGCAAGCATGTGACTGAAATCTTAGCAGCATGGACAAAGTGGTTGCCAGTAGAAGATGCAGGTGTAGCAAGTGGTTCAACAGAGGACGTGGATGTTCGATTGGCTCGGATGTTAGAGTCGCAGAGTCTTCCTACAACTACACAAAGGAGCTATACGGAGGAGGAGCGAAAAATAAGGGAAGCAATTTTAGCTCAGTACAGTGAGATGTCAGATGGAGAAGAGAGCGAAGGTGAAGGCGAAGAGGATGGTGCAGCCGGTGGTGATTGCAAGATTGAGAAAAATACAAACGCAGTTGCAATAGCACAACAGGAAAGGGAGAGACGAGAAAAGTCTAAACTTGAAAGTCAAAAGAAAAAGGAAAAAGATAAGGAGGACCGGTAAGTAATAATTCATAAATAAATACAGAAGTCAGATTTATACTAAAATATCAGACACTACAATTAAACTAAATTCTTCGTAGGGAGAAGCAGAAACAGCTGAAAGAAGAGAAAAAGGAAAAACGAAAGACACAAAAGGGCGAGCGTCGGAGGTAGCATCGAAATACGATTTTTCGAAAATTGATTTTGAGAATCCGAATCTATAGAGTGTTTATGTGCTCACCTGCGTATATACCTACATACGTGTACGCGTGTATTTATTCTCGTGCATGTAGTAACCTTCGATAGCGATCGATATTATATAAATCGCAACATTTCTCGACAAAAAAGATGCGTGTATCTCGCGTAGCCCTAGTCACTGACATTGAAAACTAGTAGCATTATAAATTCTCTACTTCTCGCAAAGTAGCTGTTAATATTTTTTGATACCACATGAAATCGTTTTATTTGTTGGTATCGCAAGAAACTTTTCCAACATATTAACACTCATTACGAGTATGTTAAATTGTTTTCTAATGTCTGTACTGTGTTAACTCTTGTTAAAAAAACTCAACGATTTTTACTTCTAGATACGCTTCAATCATTATTGATCCTTTACTAAGAAATCATGTATTTAACACCATAGTTCCCTTATTATGTAAAACTATGCCATGATAAGATTTTACATATTTCTGTATCATCAAGCTCGTTTATTTAAGTAAACTGCAGAGGTGTATTTAGTTGTCAAATAAGAACATTTCAAATGCAGTATCGATCACAACTCCATATTGTTTTTAGCATTACAATACCATCCATTCAATGTATGTTTATTCCAAGTCATAAGTATACTTCGTTGAAATTTATTAGCAACTGAAGGTATACATATCACAGATGATTAGTGAGATACACAACTCTACGGTTTTAGACGATACCAAAAGCATGGCGCTAAATCGTAGCGGCGAGTCTGGAAGCAGGATTATATGATCATGGCCTCCGTCGACAATCCAAATCCCGTTGTAGCCGAGCTGCACGTGAACACGAACAGTATCTTGGCGGGCAGAGGTTCTCCGCTACTCACCGCTAGTTCCCAAAGCAACCCTTAGAACGAGATCTGGTAATATAGAACTTCTCAAGAACTATTGAAAAAGCCTATTATTGAAACATTTTTAAGACTTTTAAGCAAGTGCCGTTCCAACTTGACAGCCGTGTAGCACCTCAATTTTTCTAAATATTGGATCTCGACTTACTTTTAAAATTTATTCAAAACATAAAATTGAAGTTAAATCAAAACCTCGCAGATTCTACGGAGTGGACAAAAATTGAATTGAAATTGTAGAATATCGAAAATGAATTACGTTCAAATTGAAATATTAATAAATTATGTGTTTGGAACATTAAAATAATTAATTAAATCAATAAAGTAAAATATGAACACTTAGAAATCGGAAATTCTGGCCAAGCATATTTAGAAGTACTGGAAGTTGCCCAAATTGTGTGCGCGCAGGACTGGGTATGTGGGAGTAGGTGGCGGGGGGGGGGAGCGCTCGAGGCAGTGCCCGGACCTGGAGCGTTCATTCTTCCTCGAGCCGGTCTCCTATACTGGTCTCGTGGAATTACCTCTCTTATCCATTGCCAACTTTCTTCTTCTATATTTATTTCTTCATTAATGCCTTATTTCTTTATCTTTCATTCGTCACTTTCTGGTTTATCTCTTTTTTCTCATTTCTTCTCTACTTCTATAACCCTATTCCTTACTTTTCTATTTCTTCATTTCTATATTCATTTCTTTCTTATTACCTTATTCTCACTTCTTTATTTCTATATCCAAGTACAACCTTCTTCTTCTTCTTTATTTATTTCTTCTTTACTTCCTTATTTCTTTATCTTTCATTCGTCACTTTCTGGTTTATCTCTTTTTTCTCATTTCTTCTCTACTTCTATAACCCTATTCCTTACTTTTCTATTTCTTCATTTCTATATTCATTTCTTTCTTATTACCTTATTCTCACTTCTTTATTTCTATATCCAAGTACAACCTTCTTCTTCTTCTTTATTTATTTCTTCTTTACTTCCTTATTTCTTTATATTTCATTCTTTACTTTCTCACTTATCTCTTTCCTTGTTTCTTCTCTATTGTTATAACACTATTCCTTACATTTCTATTTCTTGACTTCTTAAATTCTATCTTCCTCTCTAATTTCTCATTTCACTCTGTTCCCTCTCACTTTCTATTGTGCTTGTCTTACACTTCCTATTCCTTTGGTCGGGTCGAGCATATTAATTCAAGTAGTCATATAAGAGTAGTCATCCGGTTAGTGCAGCTAGACTTAAGACCATGGTGTCGGGGGTTGCCCTTCCGCCTCTTCCGCTGAGCTTGCTCAGTGGTTGGTGGCCCAAGTTGTGGCCGCAACAGGACCTTATGGGTCCCATTGAAATTTCGTCGATGGCATTTTTAAATTGTATTTGGAATTATTTTAACCGAGAAAGTTCACTCGTTCTCTCAGAGATGGCGCCACATATCATGCCCAGGAGGTGCTGCCCTCTTATCGGCGAAAATTCGAACTA